GAACAATTAAATAAATGTTACTACACCCAAAAATCCTTTTTTTCAGTGTAGGCTAGGCACTCAGTCCTTTGTGTTTCATAACATTTTCATTCTGACCCAACAACTTTTGTCAGTTTTCTATTGAATTTGCATTATAAAAAATGTTWTATTGGTAACATATTCAGCAGAAGCAGTAAGTAAATGCATGCGGTTCTTGAATTTCAGGAAATTTGTCTTGGAAAGCTTTTGAAAGGTCCTCAAATTTGATGTTAACCAAGATGTGGGAACCCTGAAAAATGAGTTTTCCTTCTGTCTTTACACATCTACAACTCATTAACTCTACAATATCAGCCCAGTGTTAGATGTCTGTCACAGACTACCATAAACACACAAAACKGCCTAAAACTTAATCAGTTTGAAAAATGTTAAGCTGAGAGCCAGCACACACTGAGTGGGACATCACAGCAGCTCCTCAGATCTCAAGTCTTAGTTTAAAACTAAGATTTAAAAAAGACAACGATCAGTGTGAGGTCCTTTAACCAGAGGGGTTGTGTTTGTCTGCTCACTCAGACTGACTCACTCTTCATTTCATCATCTTCACTTAGTGAAACATAGACGTAGATGCTGTCAGTGTTTAATGATTAAAGCTGCTCCCAGATAGTAACAAATCATTGTTGGTGAGTTAATGGTTGTCTGCTGCTGAGCTCCATGTGAAATAAAACCTCAAGGACTCAGTGAGTCTCCTAATTGTTACAGTTATTTAACTGCTCTTTAAAAAGTCAAAACTAGGAACTGAAATCATGCAGAAATAAAAAAGTAATATTTACAATAGATTACAAGTAAAATGGGGTTGAATTGAAGGAGCCAATGAGAGAGATGGATTGTTTTCTTCCTGCCTACATATTAACAGGTTAAACCAGTAGTTTTCTTGTGATTTCACTCAGAAATAATAGAAATTATCAGAAAAGTACTTGAGTGTTATCACTGTGCAGCAGGAGGTGTAGCCTGGCGGCAGCACATGGCCCAGACGGCTGGGATGAATTCTGACATCTTAACAGAAGGGGCTAACATGTGAACGAACAAGATGACTCTGTGTGTGTGTGTGTGTGTGTGTGTGTGTGTGTGTGTGTGTGTGTGTGT